GAATACATATGTACGCATATACATATATTCCTTTTTAGCTGTCTCGAAGACAATCAAACTTCAAACCACGTCGCTACTCTTCAATCTTGTGCTCCCATAACTGCGCGCGTCGCACAAATCTGCATAATCGCAATTCAAAAAATGGTTCTATGCGATCGATGGCGGCAAAGTCAGGTAAATGCATGGCTATATGGCTATGAAAGAAAGCGAATTTAAATTGTTTGCGTAACTGCAGATTCATCTAACAAGGGCAATGATATAAACAAGACTACCCTAACGAACATACTGCCAGTGGCTTTGATACAGTCTAAATCTGCGACCACTTCCACAAAAATCATGTTGATTCCGCTTAACTTGTTTGACGGTGACGATGATGCCAGCAAAAACACCATGAAGACTTTATCTATTATTCGAGAACATGCTAGACAAATTGAAGCTTTTTCCGAAAATGTATTGGGCACAGCAGAATCAACACATTATGGCGTGCCATTGGCAAGTAATAACGCTGAAACATTGCTGGATCAATGTTCTGGGCAAGACGATGTTACTTTATGGACTCATGACGAGGAAATGTCCAATTCACATGCATTACAACATTGTGAAGAGACGATCAAGAGCAAGCATATATCGCTTTACGAAAAACTTGAGCGTGCCATGGCCGAACAAGAACGTAATCGTATCGAAACGCATGACTGTTACGAAGTAGCGGCCTGGAATAGTTCCAAGCGTGACTTGGTTGTGTTTGTACCCGAAAATTTAGAGCAGAAATTGCAACAAATGGCAATAGCATCTATGCAGTTGGTATTTGAAATGGATATGAGTAATATACGTGATGCTATTTTTAGAAGTGCGGCTTTAGAGAAAATTAACATGTTTAAACCTCCAACACCGAAAACTTTGACAGATCCCACAGTGAAAATTGAAGCTAATTTGGATTTAGAAAGCGCTAAAACCGAATGCACTATTCCTCTTGACTTCAATGCTATGATTCAGGGTACCGTCGAAATTGATCCATCCAAATACACACCCAGCGTTCTAGGCGAGATCAAAGTGCCGGAGTTCAATGATTGTGTCACAACCATAGCGGCTAATATATGTAGTACAGCATTACAGAAGGGATTTCCGGCGGATCTCAGCCGAATGGCATATTCTACAAAGCCGCCAGCTAAAACTAAAACCGACGCAAATCGAGATCCACACATTGTTTGTGTTCGCAACGGTTCCAAAGGGTGTGTTTCACCAGGTAACGCCGCTTATCCAAAATTCATACCTCAAGGCGCAACCGTAAATACGGAAGAAGCTAAAGGATTAGAAAAGTCGAACAAAACTAGTATATCGTCAGAAATCTCTCTACTTTCGTCTTCGGAAATCATTGACGCTTATAATTCACGCGGTCTAATGAGTTGTAAAGCTTATGCCAGGGCGCTAATTGAAGCAACTAAACGACGTGCTGAGATTGCCAACACGAGTTCTGTACAATGCGATGAAAAGAAAACTGTGAAAAAAGAAGCGTTCAAGAAGAAAGATAAGTGCGGTGACCCTAAAAACAATCCATGTACCAAACCTCTATTAGATGAATGTGGTAACGAGTTAAAAAAGAATTGTCCAACTAGGAAAAAGGAAGAGAAGAAGAAAGATCCTTGCAAGAGTGATCCTTGTAAAAAGGCGGCTAGTAAAGACAAAGGATCTTGTACCACACCGGGTGTACCGAAACCCTGTGCAGGTAAGCGTAAAAAGAAGTCGTCCAAGGATAAGGGGAAAAAGGACATATGTGGAAATTCGAAGAAAGGAAATAGATGTAATAGTGAAACTGATGCATGCCAACAGGAGAAAAAATGCCCAAAACCAAAGAAGAAGAAATGTGATTTAGGTGATCCCTGTAAGGATCCGTGTCTAAACATCAATGAAAAATCTGATAAAAACAAAAAGGAATTCTCTTCTGGAAAAGATAGCAAATGTAAGACGGTGAAGAGTTTATGTGATGTGAAAAAAACCCAATCTTCGACCTGTAATAATGATAAGGCACCAAAGAAATGTAAGAGCGCCAGTGACGTAAAAAAAGCTGATAATAAATGCGCATCCTCAAAAGCAAAAAAATCCGACTCCTCTAAAAGTAAATGCAAGCCATTTAATAGTGTTTGCCCTAAGGATAGTAATAAGTCAAAATGTGGATCAGACGGAAAATCAGGTAAAAATGCGAAAAACCTTTGCGACGTAAAAAAATCACCATCTACATCTTCATGTGAAAATAAGTCCAAATCATCCGCAAACAAAGAGTGTAAACGTTATGAAGGCTTTTGCAAAAATAAAGATTCAAAATCCTCCTGCTCAACAGCTAAAGACCCATGTAAGAAATCAAATGATTCGCGTGCATCTGGAGATAAATCAGAGTCGAAATGCAAACCTATCAAAAATCTATGCGATACAAAGAAATCGAAATCGCCATGCACCAAGGACAAAAAGCCCGATTGCAAGTCTGAAAATATACCGAAGGGAGATTCAAAATGCAAACCCATTAAAAGTCTATGCGATGCAAAGAAATCAGCATCTTCAGACAAAAAGTCTTCCAGCAAGCCAACTGACTGCAAGAAAGCTAAATCGTCGTCGTCTAAGAGTGACTCAAAAGATCAGTGTCAGAAGAAAAAGTCAACAAAACCCAATTGCAAAACCAAACCCGGCTCTTCTGCAAAGAAGTACAGCACCTTGGCGAATAACCAGTTATTTGTGGAAATATCACCCATTAAACGTTACTTCAGCACAATTCCCGTATACGCTGTTCTACGTGGATTCATTTCATGGCGACAGCTCAGTTCGAAGAAAAGTTCTAAAGGGAAAAAGAAAGGCAGCAAGGATGATGGAATGTGCATGAAGTTTCAATCAAAACCAAAGATGAAACGCATTGATAAACTTGAACGTAGGAAACCGAAAACAGACTGTTATAGCGATCCTGATGAGTGTCAAGAGCAAGCCTGTAAGGATCCTTTGAAATCCAGCTGTGCCAATAGTAAAAAGGGTAAGTAGCAAAAATATTGAAAAAGATATTGCAAAATATAAGCTTACATTTGAATTTTTAAAATAAGGTAGAAAATGAGAATCCCTCACCGCTCAGCTTTAGAACGTGCTTGAATGTGACTACTTCCTTACCTGCCCTTCACAAAAGAAATTATGGATCGGATTCCTATAATGAAAACCGAGCTCAATGCTACGAAGAAGGCAGAAAAAGTTATGAATCTGAAAACCAGCAGGAAGTTGAGCGATGTGCTGATGAAGAAGATACTAATTCATATCTTATAAACAAGACAAGAAACGAAGTGATTAGAATAATGGAACCATGTACAGTCGAACGTTGTTTAGAAGCATTACCAAAGTTTAATGAATATGGTAAAAAAAAAATTCACTATTTATGAATATATAGGAAACTGTAATTTCGAACAATAATCCACCCAATAGATGTTCTGATACGCACCGAAGCAGTTGCAATTTCAGGATCTGATCTGCATTACTACGAAACTGGAGGGAAATCCTATCCCGGCATGACGCTGGGTCACGATGCATCTGGCATAGTTCAAGAAGTATGCTCACTAATTTATATTTGACGAAATTGGTAGTACACGAACACGAACTTGCACTTTTCTATTACTAGGTTGGTTGTTCAATAACGAAAATTCGACCAGGCGACCGTGTTGTTGTTGAATCAGGCTTAGCATGTGGAATTTGCGACTATTGCAAGAAAGGCTGCTACAACATCTGCAACAATTTAATATTTAATGGATTTCTACGCAAATACCAAGTTCACCCCGCTGATTTGTGTCACAAAATTCCAGCCGATGTCGATATGATCGAAGCGACTCTTACGCAAACGTTGGCGCTTGGATGTCAGGCTTGTTTCAAAGCACAAGTTCTACCCACGACAAACATACTAATAATCGGTGCTAGTCCCACTGCCATTTCGGCGGCATTGTGCGCACGCGCGATCGGTGTTGGTAACATCTGTATAGCGTCCACTATAAAAGATCCACTCGAAACAATTGAGAATACCTTTCACTTTAAATGCATGCACTATGATGCCGATATGCAGTATTGCATGATACTTGAGTGTTTATATAGCGTTTTACATGACTGGCCAGATGCTGTTATAAACTGTGCCGTTTCAGAGAAATCGATGAATTTATCTGTAATGGCACTGAAGCCATGCGGTATATGCGTACTAGCGGAGTGCGATGCGGAGTGTGCGTGTTTCAATGCAATGGATGTGCTTATGAAAAATCTAAAACTGATTCCGAGCTTTCGTTCAATTAATATGTGAGTAATTGTCTCATTGTCCCACACGTCAACAAAGCATTTACATGTCGTTTGAATTTTTGTTTACTTGTTCAGGTTCCCAACAGCACTACAGCTGATTGATGGAGGTAAAGCGCCTATTGGTCGACTAGTTGCAAATGTATTTCAATGGTGCAAAGTTGAACAGGCTTTTCGGAAGGCATTACATGAATCAAATGTTGGTAATAAAAAGGTTGTAATAAGATGTGCTGCGGAAGAAGACAAAGATATATACAAGAAGGAAGATTGCAAAACTTAGACCAATAAAAACTAAAAAAATGGTATTTATAAGTGAAATTGTATATGTGATAGCTTTTACTCTCGCTCTTTTTCTGCAATATAAAATAAAATTACGATAAAGAATTTTGAAATATACTTGTAATAACCTGAAACGGAGCGCCCTTAGATGGGACATTCACACAAACACGCACACACACGTTTATATTGAATTTTTATGATTTTCGCTGCTTGATGATGCAAATTTGTTTTCCCATCTAGCTTACATACTCCGCCCGCTAGACGTCGCAGAAAGGTGGAAAAACACCTGTGTGCAGGTCAAAATGACCCATGGTGCATTCTATAGCGCTTCTACGCTCCTGGTGGTGGTAAACAGCTGGTTAATAGTGATTATGAAAGCCCTGTTTGTCCTCTAGGTGATCCCCTTTGTTTCATATATTTCGAAGATTTACACCCACCTTTGGCGTATCCATAAAAAATAAAAAATAAAAAAAACATGTGTTTGTACATAATTTTTTTGTTCTTATTGTAATTGCAAACTATACTAGTAGCCCAGTGTTAATCATTAAACCAACAATTGTGGTTGCTGTTTGTGCATGGTGGTTGGAAGCACTTCACTGGTTCGTTTTATTCATGCGTTTCCGGTTTCTTTTCCTTCGTATGTAGCAAACAGATGTCGCTTTAACTAATATGTCAGTAGGCGCAGCTGTTTTTGTAAAAGCATCCCTGCAAAAGAAATATACTTATTGTTTGCCTTTGGATGCAACGTGTTTGGTATATTTTTATTTGTAAAGATTTACTTATTGTTCTGCACTGAAATCGTGAAAATAAGTATATCTAAATATTATAATGGGAAAGCTCGATGTTACCGTGTTACGATATTTGAGCAAGGAGGATTTTCGTGTGCTTACAGCGGTTTGTTTTTACTAATGTAATAACGTATAGTTTGACTAATTAAGTATACATTTTAGATCGAGATGGGCATGAAGAACCATGAGCTTGTTCCTGGTCAATTAGCTGCATCTATTGCTAATTTAAAGGCTGGGGGCGTCCATAAATTACTGAGAGAGCTATGTAAGCACAAACTGGTTTCATACGAACGTGGAAAGAAATGTGGGTTTACGATAAATGCTAAATAATACGGGTATTATAATAAGTTTTTCATACAGATGATGGGTATCGCCTAACAAACACTGGGTATGACTATTTAGCTTTGAAATCACTAACTTTGCGTGGATCAGTATCATCATTCGGTAACCAAATAGGTGTAGGCAAAGAATCAAATATATATGTGGTTGCTGACGAAGATGGTAAATCTATATGCTTAAAGCTCCATCGACTAGGTAGGACCTGTTTCCGAAATATTAAATCAAAGCGAGATTATCATGGTCGTCGACACAAAGCCTCGTGGCTATATTTATCACGTATATCGGCAACTAGAGAATTTGCATATATGAGCGCGTTGCACGATCGTGGCTTCCCAGTGCCTAAACCAATAGACTTCAATCGGCATTGCGTGTTAATGGAGCTTGTCAACGGATGGCCTATGTAAGTTATATGAGAATAACATACGAACAAAATTTGAAATCAAGCAATTCTCTACAAAGGACGCAGGTTCAAGAATTAACAGATGTTGAGCAAGTTTATGATGACCTTATGAATTTAATCGTGCGTCTTGGTAATGCTGGTGTTATCCATGGGGACTTTAATGAATTCAATTTAATGCTCACAGACGATGGAACACCAATTTTAATTGACTTTCCACAAATGATGTCAACATCACACGAAAATGCGGAGTTGTAAGATATACATATACTTCTATACTTATAGACGCTCAGTTATTAATTGTGATTTGTGTTGTTTAGTTTCTTTGATCGGGATGTGAATTGCGTCCGCGAAATGTTCCGTAGAAAATTTGGTTACGAAAGCGCAGATTTCCCTAAATTTACGGACTTAAAACGTGAAGACAACTTGGATGCAGAAGTACATTGCACAGGTTACGGTGTTACCAAGGAAATGGAGAGAGACATTTTACAGGTAATTTCGTTGAATTAAATGCTCAAAGATAACTCTACGGAAACATAATTTATAAATAACATAATTTTGGTTTTTTCCAGGAATATGGCATGATTTCCGAAGACGCAGACGAAGAAAATCTTGAAAGCGATGATTCTGAGCCGGAAGAGTCGCCAGCTGAAAGTTATTCGAAGGATACTCTTAAAGAGTATCGTCTTCAGCTTCAAAATGAAGTGAATTTCAGCGAAATGAAAAATACGCATAAAACCGATGATTCTATACGCCGTTATATTGAATCATGCTCGCAATATTTGGCAAATATTGATCTAGATCCACTATCTGAACTGACAAATGAGCCCTCCCAAATAATGCAACCTAACTCAAACGAAGATAACACCAGCAGCATTGATTCAAGCCAAAATTTAGCTGAAGTTTTAAAAGATAACAAATCTAATGTGTGTGTCAACGCTAATGATTCAGATGCTGCATCATTAAGTTCTAATGATTTGGAAACCGATAACGTTCTCGAACTGAAAGACATGGATCCAAATTCACGAATGTACCGTTTAAAATTGGTGGAAAAACTTTTGAATGATACACGCAGTCAGCGATCTTACTCAACCACTGCTAGTACTATAGCGCCATCAGTAATAACTGACCGTATTAGAAAAAATATGGGTGCAAAAGAAAAACGTGAAATGCGAAAGCATTGTGTGGCGAAAGGTGAAGCTAGTGCTTTACACAGGCATCGCAAAGAAAATAAGGATGTGGTTAAAGAGTATGCTGGATGGGACTTTTGATGAGTTTGCATTTTCTATTTCTAAGCGAATGAGTGATAAATAAATGGTCTAATGAAAATCAAAGAAAAACAGACAGCGCGCTTTTGATCTTTGCTTCGTTAAAAATTAATTTCCATGTTGCTCTATTCACCAATCAATTATTTTATTTAGTTCAATGTTCAATTTTTTAAATATGGATGTCACATGATGTAAGTACTTTTTATTATGTTAATATCAGGCAACAGATGTTTTTATGAGTAGAGGGTATCAAGATATTTAAACATTTGAAATCTATTCTATAAAATTTCATTATGAATCACAGTTTAACGACCTTCTAAAAAGACGAGCCTTGAAAACTTCTGCTTTGAAATATACATAAGTATGTAGATGGTAATTATCATAAACAGCACATACGTTTAGTTGTTGTCTTACAACTGTTCCGGTCCCATTCGCGGATTTAGGTATCGTTACACATCAGACGCATTTTGTAGCAGTACTGAGACAGACTTGCTAGATGGTGGCTAGGTGCCAAATTACAGTTTGATTTCATTGTAATAATATAATTATTATGTGCGATTTTTAAGGAATATCTGTCAGTTAGACACTTCCTCACACAGAAGTATGCAAATTGTTCAATTGAAAACGTTTGCAAATAAATAACAATTAATAATAATCCTAAGTTCGCGCCAGTCGCATTAAATGTGTAAACGTAAAAGCATATGTGCTTATATCATATATGTATTTATATGTAATTGATAGCAAAATTTATTTCTTTTTGTTGTTTTATTTGTACATGACAATCTAGCATTCTTGCACAATTTAAATCTAATCAGATACATCTAAAAGTCCTTTCCGATCGAAATATGGTAGTAGTGATTTCACAATACTTTGTACCTTTTTATTAGTATACAATACTTTATAAAAATTTCTGGAACGCTCATTAACCTCGGTTAAGCTATTAAGGTCTGAATCGGCATTATTTTCACAAATCTGCAGCGGTTGGTTTACTATCGCTGATGTAAAAGCTGCGAAGTAGGAAGATTTGTATATATCATTTATATAAGAAGAGTATACAAATGTAATAAACATACCGTAAAAACGTCGTTCCTCCAGTTGAATACAGAGCTCGTGTAGAGAAGGAATATGCCCACCATATGATAATTTGTGTAGTGTGCTAGTTAAAATCTCGTGGTAATATTGAATTAATTCATCCTGACGATGTAAACGCAGTTGATTTTTAAGTGAGGTGTTAATTAGATAATGTAAATCCACGGCTGGCGATGACCAATTACTAAATTGAAAATCAATTAATCGTGCATCCTTAACGTGCTTTGTGTCATTATTTTCGTCCTGCTTTTCAAATAATAACATAATATTAGTGCTCCAAATGTCGCCATGAATTAGTGTGAAAAAATGTCCATCTTTGGGATCAAAACTCCGCACAGCATACTCAAATACGCAGTGCCTCAGTTTGAGTAATTTCTCTTTGTAGTAAGGTCCCAGTTCCGCGCAATTGTGAGCGAAATTTGCACATACCTCAAGCATGCCTTTGTAGAAAGGTTCAAAGGTGCGGTTTGTACGTCTAAGAAAACCGCCTTGTAAATTTGTCAAAATGTCTGGCATGCGTTCGTTAAGCACGGCGGCAGTAGCATGAAATTTAGCCAGTTTCCTCAAGGTTAACCGTGCTTGTGATTCATCCAGTCGGCCTATGCGATCGGCTACGACAAAGCGTGACACCGACAAATCCTCAAAAATTATAGCTGATCTTTCGAAGTCCACATGTACTATATCGGCAAAGAGTTTGTCATCATCTCCTATCTCCAGCAATAAAGCGGCCATTTGTGGTAGAATCTGTTTATACATAATCATTTCTCTATTGTAAACATCGAATTTATTCATAAGTCTAGCAATGACTGGATCACCTTCATAACTAGTTTTTGCAATGTAAAATTCCTGATGCGGCTCCTTGCAGTTTGACTCTAGGAACTCCACTTTAAAACGCGTTAAAGTGCTAACGAAACTATCACCTTTTGTTGTGCCGCTAGAGTCAGTAATATTAGTTACAATGAGTCCTTTATCTTTTTTGCATTCACGCAAAATTGTCTCGAAGTATTCTTTTGTTAACCAAGTTAAAACTGACTCAGTTGTTTCCTTCATTTTCCTTTAATTAAATTAAATTCAATGCGTTCACTGCTTAACACAACCGGATCGGCCGACTTGTGGAGACAGTAAAATATTTGATGCATTTTTTATATACTCGTAAGATGCCTCTGATAATTTACCTAGTTTTACAGTGAGCTGATAAGAATAGAAATGGGTGCAATAAGAGCAGTAATTTTTCACATTATGGTGGTAACAAAAGCTAGTAACTTCGAGAATTGGTTTGGACTCTCAAAGGTAACATAGTCAAGGGCTCTTACAAAGAATAGTAACTGCCCTCTAAGTTAAAAAAAAAAATGTTTACGATATCTAGTACTTAGTTGTACTTAACTTTTCTGGTTTTTAAAGAAATATATAAAAATAAAAATTTTCAAAATATTGTAAAATAACTTAGCTCTTCATCACTAAACTCATTCAAATATAAAGGATGAATTTTGACCAGGGAACCTTATTTTAAAATGTACTTTTGATAACAATAAATTTAGACGAATGGTTTGGATAAAATTTTACAAAATTTAAACGATTTTTTAATTGAGCTTTTATTAAATATTTCCCAAATTACGTCCTTCAAAAGGAAGGCACTATACTAGAGCTATTTGCATAATCCCCTAATGTTCAAACCCGTATTTACATAAATACATATGTACTTTAGTTGTAAATTTGATACTTATTTACTTAACGATAGTAAGCACTTGTAAATATTAACACCTTAGGAACAAATATCTGACATATTAACTATTTCTTAAGCTTTATTACATCGAAGTAACACAGAGATGTCTCGAAGCATATTACAAATTGTTATTGCTGTTCCGCTGGGCACTTGCATATAGCCTTATCTTATATACCATACATACATACGTCATAGGAGCCGTCATTGTATGCCGGAATTAATGTATCATAGATATTGTAATCATCATATAATATATATTACATAAATATTTTTTCGTGAAAGTCGAGGTGAAGGCAAAAGTGCATACTAATCTGAGGAATTCATTTTGTGTCTGAGTTTATGATAAATCAAATGAAACAACATAAGTATTGAAATTGAAAACTGACTGTTTAAAGTTTATAAACTTATAACTACATCTAGCCAAGATTTAAGCTACTAATCTTTTCCGGTATACTAGGTTTCATAAATCATCTTAAAAGTGAGTTTTCAGCTAATGGTTATTTGTCAAGGTCCTGATTTCACCCATTTTAGGCAAAAGGATGCACTATTAGAAAGTGATTATTTCTGAATTTCATTAGCATTTCCTACATATTGACCGATAAATGCGGTATAAAGTAGGCATAGAGAATGCTGTCATCACAAAAATATTCTCACCGGATTTCAATACTAGACCTCACAGATTGACCGATATGTTCGGTCCACATGTTTTGTGGCTGTGTTCTTGTGAAGTTATGGTCCGATTTGACAATTTTTGGGCGTAAAATGAAATACCTTGAGGGCACTATTTGGGCAAGGTATGATATAAAGTGAAAGATTCAGATGGAAGTATAAAAGTTTGTTATATAGGAAGTAGCCGTGGTTGTCAACCGATTTCACCCATTTTCATAGCGTATAATATAAATGTTTGGATAGTTTATTTATGTCTTACCGCATGAATGTCTATTGGACAGTCTGCAGTAAGAACTACAATTGCAGCAAGATGAACTTTGCTCAGAGCAAGTAGTTCAGTACATCTGCACAAAAAGATCTCTCATTCACACAGGAGCTGGTCGTCGATCAGCGCCTGCTAAGCGCACGCGAGGTTCAATGGTCCAATAGTAGAACCTAAAACGTCTATGGATATCCAACTCGGTCCCATTCCGATTTGAGCGGGGCAAGGGGCCAGTTAACATATAAAACTATATTTTAGTTGTCTGTCGAATAAAAATAAATTTTTTGTTCAGGGTATAATAAGACAAATGTACGAGATCATTGCAAAGATTATCGCGTATTTTTGTACTCTACATACAGATGAGATTGGGAGATAATTAATAAACAAAGCTAACATTTTACGACGTAATAACCATATATTATCTACAAACGCGTTAATCCCACCGTTCATTCTCTGTATTTGTTCATGAATTTTGGAACTCCGCACAATTCATATTCATCATCGTAAATATGTGCGCTTTTTGTTTTAGAGAATATTGTGAAATAAACTTATCATGAAGAACTAAGTACTGAGTACTAAGAGTACTGTTGCGATAGTAAAGCCGTTTCTAAATTAGTTGGAGCATGCATTAATTTAAGTTATGCTTTATAATACTCATTGTGGAGTTTGATTTGCCTTAGAGTCGGCGCTAGCAACGAAAAGGCAAACAGTTTTATACAATATTTTGTAACTGTTTATTTGAGATATTATAATAAATATTTAGAAACAGCTTTTATAGTTTAGAAAAAATGAAATTTATGGCTCTCTTGATCTGTTACTCCATCCAAAACAAAATTTTTGAAACCCAATTTGTGTGGCTTTGCTGAATTATATTGTTTTAAGTAAATAGCAGTCTTGAATAGCAAGTCAAACCCAGCTTCACCTGGTGACTTCCAATCATCGTTACTGTTGAAGTGCAAACAAAAACGATTTATAGTTTTTTGACAATTGTAAGTCATGGTGCCACGTACAAATTCTTGTCCAACTGTCGTATTCCAATAGAGTCTGGAAGACGGTAATTGGTCCAACGACGTGTGCATATAAAACCATGCCTACGAGCAAAAAAAAAAATCAAAAAATCAGTATTTGCACATTGGGCCAAGTGAAGTCAACTTTCAAAACCGGTGTTCCCAATTTTTTTCGGCTTTATTTTCGAAAAGAGGGTTTGCAACAGGGGTCACATTCATCGGTCTGTGCTATACATCTTCCTGTTCGAAGTTCTGATTTGCAATAACTTCTGCATCTTATGTGTAGGCGCCATCACTTTGAAGCGCGTCGTCGATTATAAATTATCGTAAAATTATTCACTGCATTATACAGCTTCGACAATTTAATTTGAAATTCATAAAAATTCACTTTCGTTTTCTTACTTGACACGCTGATAACAATCGACTTCGCGTAAGTTACATTTTAGCAAAAAACAAAAAACAAAGAAAAAATCATAAAAAATAAGGAACTGTATGCGTTCGAAATTCAAAAATATTTTTTCTATTTACATTTTGAATATTGTGCCTCAAATTAAAGCGAGTAAGGCTAAGTACCAAGCTGCAAGGCACTTTTTACTACTGCTTCGATTTCCATTCAAAAGGACGTACTAAACTGTACGGGACAAGGTCGACGAACAATTCTTCATTTTGGTGGATTAAATTTCTAATAATAACTTACTCCATTTTGTTGGATAACATCAAGATACTTGACGCAAGTACGTTAAGATAATCAAACAAATGCCAAACAAAGATCAAAAGTGGTATTAGTCACATGTTCTTTTGCGATGAATCGTGGCTTTACTAATTCTGGTGCTAAATAAAGATTACTGATCACTTTGTAATATTAATTTATGGTATATGATATACAAATGTATGTGTGTATGTGCGTTAACAAAGCTTGTAACACTTGTACTACACTAAAGGTCCATTCACATACAACTTTCCACGGTTTGCATGACAGTTCATACTGAAACAACGAAGCGTAATAAACAAGGGGTATGCCACAATGACCGCTTTGCTTTCAGTGTTTCTCTCTAATAAAAATGGCGACTGTTGCTTGGCAAAGCGTAAAAAGTCGAGAGTTGCCCAACATTCTGCTTGGCTTCGCGTCGAAAACTTTGTTAGTGAACGTACTCAAACAAAAGCTTACATCGAACTTTTCTGCCAATACAAATGTCTAACGCAAAGCGAAGCAAAACTTTATATATTGTACTTAAACAAAAAGCTTACATCGAACTTTTCTGTCAATACAAATGTCTAACGCAAAGCGAAGCAAAAGTTCTATGTGAATTGGCCATAAGTGCACTTTGCTTCAAGTTCTGTGCGGTTTACTGTTAACTCTGTCCAACACACATACATACCATACATATATATGGACATTGGCTTCACTTGTCCAAATTCAAAAGTGACATGCGTGTATAAGTGTAGTAATATAATATATGTTGATCGTTGTAATACTTGCAAAAGTTGTTTGCAAATTCGTGGTGAAATTCTGAAGTTCGAAAAAGAATTAGTTTCTATTGTGTGCATGTGTATGATATATACATGTGTATATGTATACATACTTATTATTTTATTGTTACGCTTTTACTCCGAAATCACTTAACCGATCATTATGTAGCTTTATACACATATGCCTAATGGTATACTCAATTTGAGTAATTGTTATATACTTGTATTTTGTATAAATGAATATGTTAGAATGTTAGAATGTCACGCATTAAAACATAAAAATTAACGATTAATGGCGATTTCTTACAATATATTATAAACATTTTAATTTGATCTAACACCATATAATTATTCAGAATTCCACTATATAATTTGACTAACTACGCCACACTTACTTTCATATTATTTTGGGGATAAATAACGAAACGATATTGTATTTAGTTAGGAACATTTCTTCTATTGACATATTGTTAAAATTGCTTGTACTTATATACACACTATATAAAATCTAAAAACATTTACTATTTTAATTTAATTAGTAACATCAAGTAGTCCTTTGCGATCGAAGTAAGGCAGTATAGCTATAGCAATGTCTTGCATTCTTTTATTTGTATATAAAAGACTACGAAATTCCTGCGAACGTTCTCCACTTCCCATCATAATGTAGAAATCGGTTTCGTCAGGCTTGTCATTAATAAGGAGAGCCTGACATACCAGCGCCGAGGCAACCGCTAAAAAGAGAACGAAAAATTGTCAATGCAAAATTTAAAGTGTCAGAAATATTTGTATATACATATGTACGTTTATAGTGCATACGTACCGTAAAATCGGTGAGACTCCATTTGCACAGAAAATTCATGTAAACTAGGTATGTGGCCATTATAATGGAGTAGACGCAGAGTTTCAGACAAAAAACCATGATAATACTTGACAAGTGCATCCTCTCGGTGCAGCTTAAATTCTAAAGGCAATGAAGTTTGAATGAAATAGTGAAGATCAAGAGTCGGCGATGTCCATGCACTGTATTGAAAATCGATCAGCAGGATATCTTTAATTAACCCTCCAGTTGTTGATTGTTCATCGCTATTGCCACAGTAATCATATCTTAGCATTACATTATTGGTCCACATATCACCATGATTAAGTGTTAAAAAGTCACCCTCATTGGGATCAAAGGAACGCGCACCATATTCCATCACATGTGACTTTAATTTGAGCAATTTGTTTTTGTAATAAGAACCCAAGCTTGCACATTCGCCAGCAAAATCAGCACAAGCTTCTAGAACACCCTCAAAAAACGGTGTAAACCCACACGTTTCACGATTAAATATCCCCTTTTGCAATTTAGTTAGTATGCCAGGCTTACGCTCATTTAGTACGGCCGCGGTTGCATGCATTTTGGCTAATTTTTTAAGTGTCAACATAGTCTGCGCTTCATCCATACCAACTAACCGATCGGGAATGACAAATTTTAACACCGCAAGATCTTCAAAAATTATAGCTGAATGCTCGTAGTCCACATAAATAGTATCAGCAAATATTTTATCTTTGTCACCGATTTCCTTTAGCAATTCGGTGAGTTTTGGTAAGACTTTTTCGTACATTAACATTTCCGTATTATAGATATCATATTGACTCATGATATCTGCTGTGAAGGGATCACTTTCATGTGAGGTCTTCAAAATATATGAACCGTGTTCGGTTTTCTTAACGGTGCTTAAAGTAAAATCGACGCTGATCCGTAACATCACACTGGCATAGTTGTCACCCTTTTTTGTGGCTGGTTTAATGTCCAATTTTGTGATTATAAGTCCTTCATCCTTTTTATACTTTTGTAATATAGACTTGAGGTACTCTGCGGTTAGCCACAGGGGGGCTGCCTGATATGTTATGTCTTTCATTACTTAAATAAATTAAAACTAAATATTCACACGAACCCAAAATTAATGTATATACTATTGTTTGTGTTAACTCTGCGAGTTTTGCTACACGTATGAAAGCTTTCTTCAATCCGACACTGTCTTTTATAACTAGCTAGCCACACTTTACATTGTATATTATCAATTATATCTGCTGTCTGAGAGTGGAGGAATAGAAATGTTCAACCCACATACTTTAGCGTGTGTGTTTATGTGTGTGTAAATTCAGCAATGTCATTGTAAAATTTGTGAATGCTAACTTTGAAATACATAACTTTGTTACGTTGTAATATTAAAAAAGATAAGTTTTGTAATTTTTAGAGATAGTATTTTTATTATTATTACTATACATATATGTATGTATATACGTATGCCCATACTTAAGCGCTGGGGAACATTAGCGTCCACCATAGAGCTCTCACTCATACTAAATACGCGACTAAGCGTAAATTGAAGAGTGAATCTTTTAGATTTATTATATATACTCTTGCAACATGTTCCACAATAGATGGTTCCAATCAAAGAATATATTCATATTCGACAAAGACTCATATAAAATCGTCGATCCCTGCGGTCCATTGAGTTAGCTGAATTTTATTCCATCCCTTATATTCATCGGCCAATACATTATATAACTGAAAAAAATAATAACCTCCGTCGCTACTCTATTTAACGAACAATCAGTCCTGTTCAGATTATTTTGTAGTTAAATAGGAGCAATGTAGATATTACTTCGCTTCGCGTATAAATAACATACATAATTTTATGTAAATACTTTATATTCCTACAAAATCTGAAATATGTGTACATATTATATATAATATATGTATACCGTGATTAAATACGCAATGTCACACCGTTTGTAACCTATTCTTTGTACTTGATGAGTGGTTTTGCATTATTGGAAGTCAAACGAAATAAAATCAGCTATTAATTTAACTCGATTCTGATTTCTCGATTCTGATTTAAATTATTTATCAAGTAATTATAGATATACGAGTACATACACAAGTACCTATGTATGCATGTACTAGAGAAACGGGAAGGGTAGACTTGGCGAAATAATCTAACGTGATCATTGAAATACATTGCAACTAGACCATTTCTCTCTTAAACTTGCCAATCAAATTGGTTGCTTCAAGAATATTTCCGGCAATTTGTTTGATGAACGTGAAACGTGATTTCTGGCAAGGTCTGTGGGAAACTTCTTGCGTTACTTATTGCTTTTGTTATGAATGTCTAATGGCAACTTGAATGCTATTCTATCATTCAACATACATCCGGCAAAGTTGCCGCAAAGACTAACTATACAACTGCCAATGCGATTTTCTATTGTGAACCTATATTTTGCATCAGAAAAATGCTAGGACGAATAACGTGACAAAATCCACAATCTAGTATTCGCAGAACTCCAAATGAGAGTGTGCACGATAGTTAAGTCGGTATACATATAAAAAAACCGCTTGGTTTATATCCTGCATAAAACCATCAACCGTAATCTTTAGATATGACTTATATTGAAAAAGTCGCTCTACAGGCAGAAATTTGACTCGGAATAATAAGAGAATGTATTTTGTATACTGGTTAAAGTAGTTAGAGCATCGTTTGGGCAGTTGTATCAAGCTAAAAGGAGACTACACGTGCAGAAATAAATACTTTATTTTTACAAAATATTCGTGTTTTTATTTTTTAAATTTTTTTTGTAGGCTATGTACATACGAACCGCCCTCGTACGAGCTGTTGCAAAAATAGCGTTATTTGAACCAATTTTTAATTTTGCTAAACTTCAGATTATTAAATGAAACTATTGTTTACATCTGTTTTACAAGTCGTGTAAGCGCAGCAATGTCATTCCATTTATTGAGTAAAACATCTGGTGCGTTCTGCTCAATTACAAGTTTAAAGTTGTGAATAAAGTTGCACATTTTTTCTTAATACGTATTTTACTCAAATCGGCTGTATGTACAGTATATGCTGGAATTATTTCGATAAAATAAAACAATTCTGTATAGTTTAAAGAAGAGAGTCAAATTTAAAAGAAACTGATTTTCTACGTAAGGGCTATAATAAAAAATATCTATACGCCTTTTTAAACCATTTCAGTATGGTATTCATATATTGTAATAATTCGTTTAGATTATCAAATTTATTTAAAATACTATGTGGAAATTTGTTAGTCTGCCTGATTCACTTCCAAAAGTCCTCGTCTATGGAATAATGGCAATAAGTTTGTAAGATTTTTCTGAACCTTCTTATTGCGGTACAAATTGTATTTGAATTTGATTGCACGCTCATCCTCGCCTACCAAAGAATTAAAATCTGCATCATCTGTGTTTTCATTAATCATCACCGGTTGTATGACACACGCCGAATGAAAAGCTATAAGAGTTAAGAAGGATATACATACGTAAATATGTATGTGAATATAAAATATTTATGTTAAAAAAATTACCGAAAAAACGTTTCTGTTCAACTTGTTGACGGAAATGGTTTAACGATGGTACTGGGAGTGAACTATAGCTCAGTCTTCTCAACACATCGCTGAAAATACCATGATAATATTGGAATAGAATGTCCTGTTTGTAAAGGCG